ATACATAAATATTTATAACTAAAATTGAAAAAATGTTATATTAATATTTCTACGGAAGAAAAACTGGTAGGTTTTTTATTTAACAAAAATTAAATATTTGAGAGTAATACAAATCTGTATTTGAGAATACATATTTGTAATAAAGTAAATGTTTGAAAGTAAAATACTCGTAAAGAACTGGTACTTTAAATAAGTAATACGTATTTGCCTATAAACTACGCTCCTTAAAGTTTATTAATTATTAATTAACTTGTAATACTTTGTCATTCATTGGACATGTAGCACAAAGGGCAAATCAAGTACAAAATTCTAATTTCACTATCAAAAACAATATTTTAATCATTTGGACTGAATTTGTAAAGGATTAGTAACCTCAGGGGAGGTCAGTGTAATTGTTCAAACTACAGGGGAGGTGAGTGTAAATGTCAGAAACCTCAGGGGAAGTTTCTGAAATTATCCCTTTCATTTATGGTGGAAAGCTGACTTACCAACAATGCATGGTGGGAAGAGCAAAGGAAATTAGAACAACACAGCACAGTGGGCCTGGGCTAGAAGAAGTTTCACCAGGTCCATTGTACTTTTAGGAGAAATAACATGTATGCCCCTCAACAACTTATGGGCATTTGTATGGACCCAAAATTTATCATTAATTGGGGAGTAGCTCCCCATGCCTAATTGGCGGGAAACAAGTTGCAAAGAGTGGGAAGATTTGGAAAAATTAGTCAGATGCAATAATCCTTGGGATACACGATAATGAAGCCATGTGTACTCCAATCTAAATTTGTAAATGCTTACTTGACAAAAATTTTATGACGGTTTAAATTTAATTGTTAGTTGACATAGATGAGTAATTATATACATAAATAATTGAAATTGTATATAAAATTTATTTTTATGTAAATACATTTATTATAAATTTATTAAAGAATTTTGGTTTATAAGGTTATTGTAATTTAGTAGTTACGAGTAGTTATATTGGCAAAATTTGATTAAGTAAGAGCAAAAATCAGTTTTTCTTCAAGGATAAAATTGAAAGTTTAAAAAATGATATAAAAAGTTTACACTAACTACGATCCCTCTAACTCTATATATTCCACAGATAGTGGCTGTTTAACTGGAATCAAAATTAGATGAATTATTAGAAACATAATTAACATAGTACTTCAAGAAACCAGAATTGTGACATAATTTATCTGGTAGATTTTAATTCAAATTTAGAAATTAGATAAGTAATCTTATACGTAACATGGTGACTTTCAAATTGATATCGAATTTGTAGATAAGTAATCATAAATATAATTAACATAGTACTCCAATAAACTTGAAATGTATTGTAGATAAAATAATCATAAAGATAAATCACATAATACAAATGTTTCAAGGATTGGACGTTTCAACTATTAAAATAACTATATGGTTATCAACTTAAGTCCTAACCGTGCAACTAGTTGTATTATTGGACATAACAAACTATAAATCACAAATTTGACTAGTAATATAGTGTCAAAATTTGAGACTTTTTAATATATTAATATTATATAATGATAAGGATAACCAAACTATAGTAAAAATCAAAGTTTACTCTTAAAAGTAAGTGCTAAATTTAAAGATTTTGTTGTGATATGGATTATCTAATGATAGCAACTACATTGAAACAAGCAAGCAATGATATCTAGATAAATGTTAATTACAATCCTGTGTTCAAATTAATAGACACTAGCATTTATAGCATTTCCAATCCCGTGTTCAAATGCACATCTAATGTTTGTGCAATCAAAAAATATATAATATTTATGATCATATATTTTAAATAAAATTTTTATTATTGAAACAAACTTTAATCTTTTAAATAATTTTCATAAAATAATTTATATTAGTAGTTATAATATTTAGTGGTAGTTATGTTGAAAACATATACTTAAATAGTTAGAAGTAAAAATAGTGATGAGTAGTTATAGATAGTTAAAGTAAAAGTAGTTTTTATAAGGGAAAAAAAAGTTCATAAAATGTTAACCCCAAATCCCTTTCTCAAACTTTATATATAGTGTAGATAACAATGCACCTGTATTCACTAAGTATTCTATTATACTAAAATGTATCTGCATTTACACAATCTTCACATTTGCGATCCCTTCTTCTTCTTTTTTTTCCATTTTGTTTAAAGTAATTTATCCAATTTTTGCAATTCAATTTTTTTAATTCTGTTTATTAGTTCAAAAGCGAATTTTCTTTGTTGCATTTAACCTTTTTAATTATTTTTAATATAATTTAACCAACAATTTTCTTTTTCTTTAAGAAAAAATACTATTCTTATAATTTGTAAATGTGATGGCTATCCCAACTATCTAGGATTATGCAAAAAAGAAAAAGAATAGTTGGTGCATATACACAATCTTCATATTTGATACATGAAGTTTTTCAATTGAGTAATTACATTAATGAATTATGCTACTACATAAATAATCACAAATAACCAAAAGATAATCCAAAATGCATAGATGAAATTCACAGTATGGAAGCGTATAATTTTATAACCTTTTAACCTTTGTATGATTTTTAAAGAAAGTAATTGGCTTTTGAGATACCATGCATGCATGCATATTGAAATTAATATCGTATATTCAATACTAACTTGTATAGTGCTTGTAATTAGAATGTAAAAGATAACTAAGACTGTTAATTATCCACAATATATATAAAAATATGAAAAAAAAATTGTTCAAAATGTTATTCACATTTTGTTAAATGAATTTTTTGGCCATTTGAAACGACTCATTTTATTTTGAATCAATCATGTGACCACTTACACATGGTCATTTTTTTATAGGCAAAAGAGTTAGATCCCATTTATGATTAAATAAATGATCAAATTCATATTTATTTTTGCCATTAAAAAAGTAAAATCTAGCATTTTTGTCCTAAAAATTAATCTAACATTTGTATTTATTTTGCTCTTTGCACTAAAAACATTTATTATTCAGTACGTAAGAATTGAATCTTTTCCAATGGTAAGTATTTCTTGTAATAATAATTAACAAGAAACCAATTTCATAACCATAACCCATTTGGTACCAACATGGCATGTTAAGTTCGGGATCGTAATTCTAAAAACACGACTAGTATGTCAAGCAGCTTGTCAGTAATAACAAAACTCAGGTTTTGACGCAAAAAAGTCGTTAATTCACTCAGAATTTCCGAGTTCCATCCATCATCAAGGTGGGTTTGTTAAGCCAACCCTACAGCCGTTGCCTTATTTCAGTTGGGCCGCAATTGACATGTGAAAGATGTCCACGCTGAGTTGCCTTGTCAATACTTCTTCGGCCTACGGTGGAGAGTTCGTTCTACTTTCCACAGTAGAAGCAACCACATCTATAAACTGGTATCAAATTGACGGACCACAAAAGTTACGTTGGCGGTAATAGCCACTAGCTAGGTCACGTCACACCATTACTCCCCCAGCCCGTTGAAGTTTACCTTTTTATCCTCAAAAATCAAGAACTTGAGGTTTTAACGCAAGATCATTCATTGTTCTCTCTCTTTTGTCTAATGATATGGGGCTGCAAAATCTAGTGGAAGAAGATTGAATATACAAGGAAACATCAACTTAAATCAATTTGGCTTGTGCTTCACTATTAAGTTATTCAAGCTAAAACTTTTAGGCTAAAAAATTGAATAAAGCTATTGCAATAATCTGAGCTGTCTGATGTAAGGGTATGGGTTGCCCCTTTACATCTAAGCACTTTAGAACACATTGTCATATTTATTAACTCATTATTTACATTTAAATACTTAACCCTACTTTAGTTTTTGATCCATCACAATAGTTTGTTCAATTTCGTGACGTCAAAAACTAAGCTGTAAGAAATTTTCCAGTCTTAAATAGTATTTTCACTTCGCCACGAGAATTTGCCATTGTTTTCCTCAAATTTCAATTAACACAGTTTGAATTTCCAATTAAACCCCAGTTAAACTTAATCCCACTTTATTTCTTGATCTATGGCAAAGATTTGTCCAAATTGCTTGAGATAAGAAAACTAACCTGCAATTTCCTTTCTTAAACAATAATTTGCCACTGATTTTTGCAAATTTTATTAAGTAACATATGTTAAATTTAATGTAAGGTTACATATGCCTGTGAATTTGAATTCAGAGGTAGGATTGGAATGAATAGATTTGAAATACACATTGTTCAAGTATATTGTTTGGCTCAAAAGATATCATGAGATAATAGAATTCACAATTAATAAAAACAGTTGGGGCAGAAATTGATTTTTTGCTTTCTTCTCTAAATGGCCGGACGCGACTCTGCAGTCTGTATTACTTGGCTTCAGCTAGATTAATTCCGGCGATAGCACCAACACCAAGGCATTGCGCAATTGATATAGTCCAGACACAAACTTGTATACAAGTTTGAACAGCAAAAACGAATGACTCATCTTCTTTTCTAGAGCCAATCTTGCCGGCAACCGCCAAATGGTGGCAATGTTATTTGAATTGTATTAAAAACATGTAATTAATGAGATCTAAAGTCTTATTTGGAACATCATCATTGGTCAAAAACTAATTAGTCGATATACCAAGTAATTGGTAAATTTTAAATTCTCAACCAGATTTCTTCATTTGTTTGGATAAGAGAATTGGATTTGAAATCCAAACGCATCCAAATATCTCCATCCAAAAACACAACAATATAATTTATTTGCAGCTAAGGATTAAGACGTTGTACGATTACCAGTCCTAATTATACCGTACAATAAAACATTCATACAATAAGTACAATTGTACTATACTGTCACAATAAATTAACACAACAAAGATGAACACCAGTAACTTACCAAAAGACAATCTTTAGAAATCCTCCTGCAATTTCATCCATTCAATTTCAAACCAAATCCCATCTCCACATAATTTACTGTACAATCAAAAGACCCCACTCTACTTCAAAGCGGGCATCTATGGATGGTTGGATTATAAATTGGTATCTAATTGACGGACCACAATGGTAAGTTGTGCCAGCGGTACTAGTTTACGTCACATCATTACTCCCTCTGCCCATTGAAGTTTTCCTGTCTATCCTCCAAAATCAAGTACTTGAGAATTTAACGTAAGACCATTCATCGTCCTCTCTCTTTCGTCTAATGTGATGGGGCTGCAAAATGTAGTAGAAGAAGATGGACTATGTTTCAGTTTGCATTGCCACTTAGGTCGTATGCTTAGTATAGAATTATTCATATAAAATATTAGTAATTGTTTTCCAGTGTGCTCAGTATTATTGCAGTAGAAGAAGAAGAAGAAGAAGCAGAAGTCCCTACATGCATGATGGAGAATTCTGCTGCTGATGAACAAGAAAGTATGATTACAAAGCCTTTACTTAATGATGATCATGACGGATTTTCAGGAAAGGGTGGCTTCAGAACCATGCCATTCGTTTTAGGTAACTCCTTTTTCTTTCTTTTTTCCTTTGAATTTGTAGAAGGGGTGGGGTGGGGTGGGGTGGGAAGGACTGAAACCTCACTTTGAAAACAAGAAACAAACGACCCTTATTAAAACTGGGTATATCTGATTCTCATTCTATGTGTCTTTGTTTAATTGAAGTTTATTATTAAGAATTGACCGTTCTGTGTTTTAATGGTTTTTTTTTTTCCGGGGGCAGCCAATGAGGCTTTTGCGCAGGTGGCAAGCCATGGGCTACAGCCTGACATGATTCTGTACTTGACGAGAGAGTATCATTTGAACATGGCTACTGGGTCTAACATAATCTTTCTTTGGTCAGCAGCAACAAATTTCGTGCCCCTTCTTGGTGCTATAGTTGCAGATTCATTTCTGGGTCGATTTCGGACGATCTTATTTGGTTGTGTTATTAGTCTTCTGGTAAATACCCCATTTACACACTTTAGTGTTTTCAGTAGTTAATATTTATTTTAATTATGTTTAATTTTTCATAGCACAAGAAGCTGTTAGTTCCGATTTCTTGCATTTTCATCCATCATGTCATTTTCAACTTCAGATTGTACTGTGAAAGTGGACGAATTTTATAGAGTTTCCCTGGCTTTTTTCTTTGATCTGGCGGCCAGGATGGATCAAAGAACATTTAAAAATGCTTAATGATCTTGTGAGGAGGAGGAGTTGGGGTGCACTTTAAAATTACATCATTGTTGCTTAAGAGTGGTGTAAGTCGTTTTCCTGCCGCTGTCAGATGCTTTTTCTTTTTTGTCGGAAAAATACATCATTTCTCACTTTTTTATCTTCATGCAGTGACAAAATTTTATCTGTTCTGACCCTGTGTTTAGAACCATAATTGATCATTTCAATTAAGAACCAACATGTTCACATAGGAAACTGGTGAAACAAATTGCAGAAAAGGCATGTTTTTGGCCAATCAAACTGGTGAACATGTGTTTTAGACTTTCTTGTCTAATTCTGCTTTCTAGCAACTCTCATTTTACATAACCATAATTTTTTTTTTGGAGAGGATTCCAATCATATATGGCATGATGTCATCCGAAAATGCAGGCCATTAGTTTCTTCACGCACACAGCAGCTTTATATTTTAGTTTTCAGTTACAAATCTTGCTCCATTGATATTTCATGTGCAGTGAAGAAAACTGAAAAAGAACCCCTGACTTTTAGAAGATAATTTGTTTCACATCACACTAGTAAAACTTAAAGAAATTTAAATTCTCTGCATCTTTCTTTAAGGCTTCACTTGTTGATGCACGGAAGTAGTCATGCTGCTGCAAGAAAAAATTACACTACTGACCAGTAATACAGAGGGGTGCATTTTTAGTTCTTCAAATTTACTATATTATTTATAATTTTAATGGAATCATCTGAAAATGAGTTTCTACTTTGATTGAAGGGAATGGCTCTTTTGTGGCTAACAGCTATGATTCCACAAGCAAAGCCGCCTCCATGTCATGAATCGAATAAAATTTGTAGCTCTGCGACTAGTTTTCAACTCTTTCTCTTGTGTTCTTGTTTTGGACTCATGTCTATTGGATTTGGAGGAATTACGTCTTCATCCTTAGCTTTTGGTGCTGATCAGTTACAAAAAGCAGGTGGCCACAACAATGGACGGGCTCTGGAGTCCTATTTCAGCTGGTACTATGCGTTATGCACAATTTCTATTTTAATTGCTTATACTTGCATTGTCTACGCACAAGAAAGCTTGGGATGGCAAGTTGGTTTTGGCATTCCAGTCATGCTCATGTTGTTGTCAACTCTGTCATTCTCCCTGGCTTCGCACTTATATGTTAAGTTGAAGGCTAAATCAAGTTTAATTGTCGAAATGCTTCAAGTGGCTGTAGCCTCTTATAGGAAACGGCATATAGAATTGTCAACAGAGAGCTCAAAATTGCTGTGCCATCACCACAGGGGTCCATCAATTTGTCTTCCAAGTGAAAAACTAAGGTGTGGTCTTAATGTTCTCTTATCCAAAATGATTAATTCCGCTTGCAGGCTAGGGCTGTATTTCTTTCTTGATTCATATATATGAATAATTTCAAGTTCTTAGCAACTTATTTTGATTATGCAAGGTTGCCTGTATTTGGTAGCTATAATTGGTTTGCAATTAATCCTATTTTATTTTTCATCTGTTGGCGAATTCAACAATTTGTAATAACATTTTTTGAGTCACAGAATTCAAGCGAGAAGTTCCTAGTAGGTCATTTAAACAATGTTCTCTTATGGAAGCTTCAATAATTTGTCTTCCAGGTTCTTAAATAAAGCTTGCATCATCATAGACCCTGAGAAAGACTTGACAACAGATGGAAAAGCGGCAGATCCCTGGAGTCTTTGCACAGTAAATCAAGTTGAGGACCTGAAGTCGATTCTCAGAGTCATCCCCTTATGGTCCACAGGAATGATAATGTTAGTAACTAGCAGCCAGGGCTCATTTTCTGTACTTCAAGCAAAGTCCATGAACCGAAAATTTGGTCCAAACTTTGAAATGCCAGCAGGTTCTTGTAGTATGTTTGCCATTGTCGGTGCAGTACTATGGATACCTTTTTATCTTCAGATAATCCTGCCTGTTGCATCAAGAATTTTGGGGAGACCTGTTCGTCTCTCGACAAGGAAAAGAATGGGAATTGGAATTGCCCTTTCTTTCATAGGCATGACAGTGGCAGCAACAGTGGAGGTTAAACGACGTAGTCTGGCTATCAGGGAAGGATATTCAGATGATTCAGATGCAGTGGTGGACATGTCATTACTTTGGCTTCTTCCCCAATCTTTCCTGATCGGTGCTGGTGTAACTGCAAATATAGTTGCACAGAATGAGTTCTATTATTCTGAGTTTCCAAGAAGCATGTCAAGTATATCTTCCACTCTTTCCTTACTTGGGGTATCTGCGGCAAATCTTGTTTCAAGTTTTCTTATGAACGCCGTTGACAAACTCTCAAAACTGGGAGGAAAAGAAAGCTGGATTTCGACCGACATCAATAAGGGTCACTATGATTATTACTATTGGGTACTTGCTGGCTTAAGTGTGCCTAACACGATTTATTTCCTCATTTGCAGCAAGGCTTATGGTCCTGGCAAAGAAGATAAGAAAGAGACAACTTTTCATGAACAGGATGACTAGAACTAGAGGTCTTTCATTGCTGTAATATAGTTGGTTAAACCTAGACAAGTTGCATCATGATCAATATACCTGCAGAAGCCTGGAAGTCAAGAATATCAGTTGATCTGGATGTTTTCAACAATGTCATTCCACACAGCTGGTAATGAAGGTCAGACTCATGCTCTACAAATCGTTGGCAATGCCACTGTTGAATAGGATTGTATCTATAGATGTATGCTTTTGGTGTGTGAATATGCAAACCATAAACGTTCAAGATTGTAAGTCTACCGTTTTACTTGAAAACCTGTCATCCAACTTGTTATATCTGGATGCAGAAGAGGAATAATCTTCCTTGGTAATTTCCCTTTTGCCTTTTAAATGAAATTTTAGCTTCATCCGGAGGTAAGAAGATTTAGCAAGTTATTGCTAGGAGTGATGGATGCATTGATTGAACCCTTTCTTCACCTTGTAGCTGGAAATACTACAATAGACTAGTTTTTTGCAACAAATTATTGCTGACTGCACAGAAAATTGAACATATTAATAATTTGGTCAAACCAAAAGGGAGGTACGTAAATGTCTTAAACCCAAATTTCTTTTGGAGCCAGTGTGTCCGTTCCATCACATTATCACAATGTATATACTATGAAGTCTAATGTTGGAATAGTTTGTGAAATAAAATAGAAATAAGATTTGTTGAAATGAGGAAAGTAAAAATTTTTTGACATATCTAAACAAAGGGTAAGTCAACACAATGGATCTGCGACCGGATTTGCAGCGATAGGAAGTGGATCCGTTTGTGGATTCTTCTTAAAAGCCAAAAAATTTATGAAACATTTTTGGCATGTTCTATCCATTAAAGGAACGTAATTGCTGTCTCTTAATGCCTATAAATGTGAGAGATAGTGGTTGATTAATCTGCGCCTCTTGAGTTATGTCTTTTACTATAAAAATGACAAGTTTCTGGCAAATGAAAGAGTTTTGAACTTTTCCTTGTAAAAGAAAAAACTTGAGATTTGATATCAAGATTCTCTAAATCCTATTGTATTTTAGAGGTAAACCTTGTAACAAATACTTTGCTTTATATAGTGAAAGCAAATAACATCTCAAGGATAGTATCAAATATGTGTCAAGATCATCATCTTCAACCTCACTTTCTCACTTAAATTGGCGCAATACAAATTTCCGTACTTTTATGTGTTTGTGTATCAATTACATCAACATCTAATATCTTTGCATTGAATTTGGAAAGTACAAGGCGCCTTGTCCCTAGCCAAAAAAACAAGTTGCCTTGTCACCTGCATCATCCATACAGAGTCTACGATTACATGCATGTCATTTTTCTGCAGGGAAAGTAAAAAAAGAATCGATTTGTATGATGCAATAAAATAAAGAGCTTCACGCTTTCATTCTGTATCTTCTACAGGTACTTCCTAGATTACAACAATCCTACCAGATTAAATATAACTAGTGCTTTTGGCACATTCTATGTGTGTGCTTATTCCAAAATGGAGATTTAGATGATGCAAAGGGATGATGATGCAAGCGACCATCCTTGGATGTTCCTCCAAAGAGAGCAGTTTCAGATTAATTGATAGAGCAATTATTGGGCACCTTTTGTGTTGTTATTGGGTCATAATTTTGGTTACTTACGGTGCTAAGTGTTGAGATTTTGCTCATATTTGATATTTGTGTAAAATGTAGGTGGTTGATCTAAAAAATGTTCTCGCGGGACAAATTTCCAGAAGACTTTTCATCTCAAGGCGTGCCCACACCAGAAACTGTAGAAGAATACCCAAAAGACGGATCCCGCGAGATTGATAAAGGAACAAAAGAATTGGGAAGTGGCTACTCTCAGGTGGGCCGAAAAGGGAGTAGGGCCCAGAGAGTTTTTAATCCTAAAAAGCTTTTGAACTTCAACATCTTGGAGGGAAAAAAAGAGGTCAGCAGCTACTGGGGAGAGAATTGGCAAAAGCCAGATTCACGAGATATCAATTAGATTAGTTTTTAACTTCTTTTCTTCGGTCAGACTTTTTTTCTTTTTTCTTTTTCGGCAGCGAACAGAGGAAAAGCCAGAATCACGCGAGCTTAATAGATTAGCCTTTGTTTCCTCCTGTCAGACAATTTTACTCGCGGCTTTGGCTCTTGTTTGCAGCCGACTTCCTCTAGTGCTAAGGATTGATTATACTACTTACCTGCGAGTAGTATCACAATATGAGCCCAACTGAAAAAGAAATTGTTTAAAAAAATTTTCCCTGTATCTCGGGTTGCAAGTCTGAGAAAAGAGATTTGCAGTATTAAGCAGTACCCTGAAGAATCCCTATATGACTATTGGGAGAGATTCAATAAGTTGTGCACTAGATGCCCACAGTATCAAATTAGTGAATAACTATTGATCCAATACTTCTATGAGGGACTTCAGTCATCTGACAGAAGTATCATTGATGCTGCGAGTGGTGGAACACTGGCAAACAAGACACCTAGAGAAGCATGGTTGCTTATTGAAGCAATGGCAGAAAACTCTCAATAGTTTGGCTTCCGTGAGAGTAACCCTACCCGTAGGTTTAACGAGATAGAGATGACGTCCATTCAGCAGCAGCTATCGGAGCTAACATCTTTTGTTTGATAATTAGTTGTGGGGAACGTGTACCAAGCAAAGGTCTGTGGAATCTGCAAAAACGTGGGCCACCCCACTGACTCATGCCCCATGTTGCAAGAGGAGGGAGCTGAACAAGTGAACATGACCGGAGGTGTGCCCGAACCTCGTAGGCAGTACGATCCATACTCCAACACGTACAATCCGGGTTGGAGAGATCACCCCAACTTCAGCTATGGAAACAGACCACAGAATTCATTCTCAAATCGTCCACTGGGATTTCAACAATCATGGCAACCCAAATCTCAACCTTCGCCTCCCAATTCAGGAGATTCTTTGGAGGATATTGTCAAGAGTCTGATCATGAGTACTACTCAGCTCCAGCAAGAAACTAGATCCTTGATCACGAACATTGCTCAATTCCAGCAAAAAACTAGATCGGGCATGAAAAATCTGAAAACTCAAATAAGCCACATGGCAACTGCAATTAATCGCTTAGAGTCCCAAATGTTGAAAAGTTGCCATCGCAACCTGAGACAAATCCAAAAAATGTTAGTGCCATGACACTGAGGAGTAGCAAGGAAGTTGAGGGGCTTAAGGCCACGAACCTAAAGAGCAAAAGTGAAGACGAGATCGAGAAGGAGATGGAAGAAAAAGGACGCATTCGTGGAGATCCTGAGGTAGCACTTACACCATCAATACCCATTAAATCTAATTTATCTCCTTTTTCCATGCAGGTTGGAGAAGACGAAGAAGGTGGAGAAGGAAAAAGAGATCCTGGACGTATTCTAAAAAGTAGAGATCAACATTCCCTTATTGAAGGCAATTAAGCAGGTACCAAAGTACGTGAAATTTCTCAAGAATTTATGTACCCATAAGAGAAAGTTGAGAGGGAATGAAAGAGTAGTCGTGGGAGAAAACGTATCAGCTATACTCCAAAGAAAGCTCCCACTCAAGTGTGGAGATCCAGGTATGTTCACGATCCCTTGCAAAATAGAAAATACACCGATTAGAAGAGCAATGTTGGATTTAGGGGTTTCAATTAATGTGATGCCAAAAATCATTTATACTTCTCTAAATCTTGGGCCATTAAAAGAAACGGCCATCATAATCCAACTAGCTGACCGCACCAATGCTTATCCAGAGGGGCTAGTTGAGGATGTCTTGGTTCAGATAAATGAGTTAGTTTTTTCAACAGATTTTTATATCCTGGATATGGGAGATGAGAGGTCGTTAAATTCGTCACCTATTTTGTTAGGTAGACCATTTCTTAGCACTATTAAGGTTAAAATAGATGAGAATGAGGGTATTTTATGAATGAAATTTGATGGCGAAATGATAAATTTCAATATTTTTGAGGTAATGAAATATTCGGAGGAATCTAACTCAGTCTTTGCTTTGAGTGTTATTGAACCCATTGTACAGAAAGTTTTTGAATTGGATAGTAAAGACGCATTGGAAGTGACCTTGACCAAATCTCTTGAATTGGGTTTAGCTCTTAATGTGGACATGAGGGATGAATTGCACTATACAGTAGAAGCATTACACTTACTGCCACCCATTTCCCCAAGGTATGAGTTTACTTCTCTTTTTGTGTCAGAAATTCAGACAAAGTTGCTTCCTTCAGTTGTGTAGGCACCAGAGTTAGAGTTTAAACCTCTCCCGAAGCATCTAAAGTACGCATTTCTAGGAGATCGGGGGACGCTTCCGGTGATTATCTCTGAACATTTATCTCCAAGTCAAGAGGACAAATTGGTGCGAATCCTTAGGAATCATAAGGAGGCAATTGGGTGGAATATAACAGATATCAAGAGAATAAGTCCATCCTTATGCATGCACCGGATTCGACTCGAAGATGATGCGAAACCGGTAAGACAGACACAGCGGAGGTTGAATCCCCTGATAATGAAAGTTGTGAAAAAGGAGATAGTTAAACTCCTGGAGGTGGGGATTATCTTTGCTATTTCGGACAGTCCTTGGGTGAGTCCTGTTCAAGTGGTCCCGAAAAAGGCGGGAATGACTGTAGAGGAGAACCAGGAGGACGAGATGGTTCCAGTCAGGAAGGCTACTGGTTGGCGCCAGTGCATTGACTATCGGAGACTAAATTTTGTGACGAAAAAGGACCATTTTTCTCTCCGTTTTATTGACCAAATGATAGAAAAATTGGTTGGTTGTGTTTACTATTGTTTCTTGGATGGCTTTTCATGATACTTTCAGATCGCAATAGCACTGGAGGACCAGGAAAAGACCATTCACCTGCCCATTTGGTACATTCGCTTACCGTCGGATGCCTTTCGGTCTCTGCAATGCTTCAGCAACTTTTCAAAGGTGTATGGTAAGTATTTTCTCTGAATATATAGAAAAGATTATTGAGGTGTTCATGAATGATTTTAGTGTATATGGGGATAGTTTTGATGAATGTCTTGATAACCTAACTCTAATTTTGAAAAGGTGCATTGAAACGAATCTGATTTTTAACTGAAAAAATGTCACTTTATGGTAGAATATGGTATTGTCTTAGGGTACGTTGTGTCGGCTAAGGGAATAGATGTGGATAAAGCTAAAATAGATCTTATTGCTGCTCTATCTTACCCCGTATGTGTACGGAAAGTACGTTCCTTTTTGGGCTATGCAGGGTTTTACAGGAGGTTCATCAAGGATTTCTCAAAAATCAAAGCACCCCTGTTCAAGTTGCTGCAAAAGGACGTGACATTCGACTTTACCAATGAGTACAGAGTGGCCTTTGATAAATTGAAGGAGTCGTTGACATCGCCGCCCGTCATTCAACCCTCAGATTCGAGCCTGCCGTTTGAAATCATGTGCGACGCGAGTGATTATGCCGTAGGAGTCGTGTTGGGGCAAAGGATAGGCAAGGTGGCGCACGCGATCTACTATGCGTCGAGAGCATTGAATGGAGTCCAATTTAACTACTCCACGACAGAGAAAGAATTACTAGCCGTTGTTTTTGCATTAGAAAAATTTAGGTCATATTTATTGGGTGTAAAAGTAATTGTTTTCTCTGATCATGCAGCCCTGAGGTACTTGTTGGCGAAGAAAGATGCAAAACCGAGGCTCATAAGGTGAATCTTGCTCCTGCAGGAGTTCGACTTAGAAATTAAGGATAAGAGTTAGACCGAGAATTTAGTGGCTGATCATTTGAGTCGGTTGCTTACAAATAAGGAGGATCTACCGTTGAGTGAATCATTTTTTGAGGAGCAATTGCTAGCCATTGATTCGTCGGTATCTTGGTATGCTGATATTGTCAATTTTTTGGTAATGAATCAATTACCTGCAGGTTGGTCGAAGGCTAAGAAAGATAAATTGAGAAGTGATGCCAAACACTATATTTGGGATGACCCTTACCTGTGGAGGCAATGTTCGGATCAAGTGCTAACAAGGTGTGTAAGCGCAGGTGAGTTTCACTCTATTCTAACTTTTTGTCATTCATTTGCATGTGGAGGACACTTTGGGCCAAAGCGAACAGCTCGTAAGGTGTTGGAGAGTGGTTTCTATTGGCCCACTCTGTTTAAGGATGCATATTCATTTTGTAAATCTTGTGATAAGTGTCAAAGGGTGGGGAATATATCTCGAAAAGACCAAATGAGTCAAACCTCTATGTTATTTGTTGAAATTTTCGATGTCTGGAATATAGATTTCATGGGCCTCTTCCCATCGTCTTTTGGTTTCTTATACATTCTACTCGCTGTCGATTATATTTTCAAATAGGTGGAAGCAAATGTCACCTGGACTAACGATTCAAGAGTGATTGCAGAATTTATAAAGTCTAACATTTTTGTCCGTTTTGGAATGCCGAGAGCTATATTGAGTGACAGGGGCACCCATTTCTGCAATAAAATGATCGCTACATTGTTCTGTAAGTATGGCGTACTCCATAAAGTGTCCACATCCTATCATCCGCAGATGAATGGTCAGGCCAAAGTGTCGAATAGGGAGATTAAGTCAATCCTGGAAAAGATGGTGCGGTCCAATAGAAAAGATTGAAGTTTAAAGTTGGTAGATACCCTATGGGCCTACCGCACTGTATACAAGACACCAATTGGAATGTCCCTATACAGATTAGTCTTTGGGAAGCCGTGTCACCTCCCAGTAAAATTTGAACACAAGGCTTTCTGGGCAATTAAGCAGTGCAACATGGATCTTATGGATGCAGGGAGGCAAAGAAGGCTCTAGTTACAAGAGTTGGAGGAATTAAGAAATAAAGCCTATGAGAATGCAACAATTTATAAAGAAAAGAGCAAAATCTTCTATGACCAACAAGTCTTAAAGAAGCCATTTGTCGTAAGGCAAAAAGTCCTCTTTTATCACTCGAGATTTAAACTTTTTTCCGATAAGTTGCGTTCGTATTGGATTGGTCCATTTGTCGTTTTCAATATTTTTCATTATGGTGCAGTGAAAATCCAAAACTTGAAGACGGAGAAGAAGTTTATGGTCAATGGTCACCGTCTGAAACCCTATTATGAAGGGTTTAATAGTGAGCAAGTGGAGGTTATATCTCTTGATGATCCAAGTTATGAGGTCTAAACAGCTGATTGCCATGTCTAGCCAAAAATATTAAAGAAAGGCGCTGTTTGGGAGGCAACCCACAGATTACAGTATTAGTTGT